CTATTCGGATAATGCGCGCGATAACCCACAATGAAACCAATGCATTTTGCCAACGCATCTATCCACCGCTCGGCGCTAAGTGTGGCATTCTTTTCTGATTCCATATTTTTTGTTAAGAAATGCTTTACTTTGACTCCCACCTCCTTCGAATTCTCTTTGAGATATCCGAAAATGCGGGCGTTCTTACAGCAAAAAGTGAAACCACGTTTGCATTCTCTGAAGTATGCATAAAAGTAATTAACATTTTCACGCACGGCTATCAGGGACCTTTGAACTTCTAACCATACCATTTTCTTTATATCAGAATGACTTTTCTTTGGTCAAATTTCTTTATACGTATTTCAGATATCGGATTACAATTGCTTTCTGATCGTCCTTTAAAATCCGACTAGATATTTTGTTTCTGGATATTTTTAAAACTTGTCTTGCTTATATTGGGGTTCTCCAATAGCAAAACGCATAAAAGTCAAAGGTTTGTTTCTGTAGTACCAAATAGCATAGGAAATTTTTTCGATATCAGGCAGCCTCTGATTTCACCAAAATTCTGTCTGTTAACCCTTAGATAAATTGGACTAAACGGGCAATTTTCTATACTTAAAGGCTTTCCCAGGATCAAATTCGCGCAATCGATCAAAAAGCGTCTAATTTCGATCATGATTTTGCATGGATTACTTCGCTTAGTGTGTCTATCCCCTTACAGAGTCTCATCTATTTGGGTAAGGCGTGCGATAACCCGCAATATGACCAATAAATACCGCCAAACCGTCTGGCTACCGCTCGGTACTAAGTATGACATTCTTTTCTGATTCAGCAGGTTTATTTTTATGTTGAAGAATGCTCTACTGTGACTCCTGCTTCCTTAAAAAGTCTTGTTTTATTTGAGACCTCTGGAAAGGGTGGCGTTGTTACAGCAGGAAGTAAAACAACATCTACATTCTCTGAATTATGCAAAACAAAGTAATTAGCATTTTCACGCCCGGCTGTCAGGGGCTTGCGCATTTTCCTGCCTTGCTCTACACGACGTGCAGCACCCATCCGGCGTTTCT